AGTGTGTAGTGGATTTCCTGATTGTACAGGGGGGGGGTGTGGGGGGAATCTGTTAGGAGATCCAGCTCTGGACGCGTGCTGCCGATGTTCCCAGCCTTCACTGGCTCTTTAATGAACGGAGTAGCCAGTTCTGACTTCCGCCAGAGCGGAGGGGGGAGGCTGCGAGCCTGAGGGAGGGGAGCTGACAGAAAAACAGGAAACACTGCCATCTACTCCACACACCACAAAGGGGACGACGGCTGGGTGTGAGGAGACTTCTGACCAGTACGCGGATGGCAGGGGCAAATCAATTTATTAAAGGCACAGAAATATGAATCAATGCGCCTCATGAATAATAATACAAAATGTGCATTATTAATTTTACCTCAAAGCCAGCAGAGCTCTGCAACTGGGATAAGTTGATAGCGGGTGCAATGTACAGGCTGCTTCCCCAGGAAGCATGACACCTCTAGTGTGTGGTACCTTGCACCAGGTCGTTGCATGACATTCATTGCAATAGTGTTCAACAGAGCCGTAGCTGGCTCCTTTTGCGCCCGAGGCAAGAACAGAAAATTGTCGTCGCCCCCCCCCAACAGACGTGTGCGGTATGTGACGTCATGCGGCCCGACTCCAGGACGGCGGCGCGCATGCGCAAATTGCGCTGGTGACCAAATCCAAAACAGCATAAAAATTTGAGTCCTCTGCCCATACAGGCGGGGGAGAGCAGCGGGGATCCGAGGAGAAGCTGGAGCCTGTGCCCGGCACCCCTGTTGCCAATGGCAACATGGGCAAGGAGGTGCAGCCAGACTGACCCTGGCTGCACCCCCCTCTCATCTGCGCCTGAGGCCAGTGCCTCACTCGCCCCATGGTAGCTACAGCCCTGGTGTTCAAAACACCTTCTGGTGGCCGTGTGGTGCAATACATGGTACCTTGCACCAAGGCACTTCATGGCATTCAACACACCTTCTGGTGGCCATGCGTTGCAGTGCAATAAATGGTACGTTCCACTAGGTCGTTGCATGCCATTTATTTCAATGGCATTCAACACGCCTTCTGGTGGCCATGCGTTGCAGTGCAATACATGGTACCTTCCACTAGGTCGTTGCATGCCCAGTAGCATCAGAAGGGTGAGGTGAGTGATTTCCACTCATCCTCATAGTAGGAGCAGACCTGTGACAAAGAAGCTGTCACAGGTCGGCTCTATTGATCGGGATATGAGTAGAAACATGCAGCTGATCGTCCCACTTCCCGATCGTCTCACTGCAGCGAGAGGTGACTGTCAGTCACCGCTCCCAGTAGGAATTCCCCTCTCCGATCCTCCAGCGCTGACTGGAGGAACGGACGGGGAGGGGGCTGGCACAGCTGGCTCTGCCTCTAGGTAGGCAGAGCCAGCTGTCACTCAAGCAGCTGGGTGGATCTCGACAGTTTTATCGGGATCAGTCCAGGTTCCGGTGCTCTCAGTATTGCCCGCGATATACTGAGCTTTGGGTCAAGGGAGGAGGTTAGCATATGGCCTCCTGTGACCCTAATAATGTTTTTCCCCAAGAACTATGGGAAAAAACACGTACCCCATAGTTCTCTTATAAAAAGAAAGTGCACTTATTCTTTGTGCCCCCCTCCCCTGACCTCACAGTGCACCCCTTTCTATACTTACAGTTACACGGCACTTGGGGCCTCCCACATTTGCTGAATAAAAATTTAACTATGAATTTTGGAAGAATGCTGGTCACTCTCGGTGACTGTAAAATGACATTGTAAAGAGCAAATATCAGATTTGTGTCTGTTAACATTCACTTTCAAACAATGAATCAGTGCTGTGGTCCAATTTTCTGCACCAACAGAAAACAATGGACACGTGATTCTATTGTGAGTGAAACAATGCTCTGTACTCTGAAGAGCCCTCTCTCCTCATACCAAATGAAGATATATCTTGCTGAGGTCACTTTGGTGTGTGACAATAGGCAACCTAGATATCACTAATTAGGCAGAACTGTTGATAGTGTTGCAAAGATCTGTCCATGAAAGGCAAAGATTTACTTTTTATCATCATCATCATCATCATGGACAGCAATATGAAAGATGATAGGTTCTCCCTTCTACAAGAAATACAAGCAGAACACTTGAAACCCCTCCAGTTTAGATTGTGCTTCCTACCATCCACTTGGAATGGATGGCTGTTGGGTCTAGGTGCAGATCTGCTCTGGTTTTTCTGCCTAGCCGGAAGGTACCCTTTCTTCTGCATTTACAGGATCTTGCCCATTTCTTTTTGAGGTTCAGCCCTGAGTTTACTTTAACTTTGTCTTCCTCCTCCTCCCCTGGTAAAAATGTGGGTGACCAGCTTTAATGTTGGATTGTTTCAGTCACTAGCCTGGAGGAAGGCAGGGCGAGCAGGTCAGGAGAGTGGCTCAGGCCTTGTTCAGGAACCCTGTAACATTACTTCCGGTGGCCAGGGATGATGTATTTCCTCTAGCACCAGAACACAGTGCTGTGACAGGGCTGTGTGTGTGCTCTGCATCTGTCCTAACCATGGAAGGAGAGGCTAAGGATAGTCTTGGACATTGTGTTCTATTGAGAGACCTGTGCCTCTTGTATATTGCAGGGCACATATGTCTGATAAATCTTCAGCCCAGGCTTTAACTATCCCACCTTCAGCCCCAGTCTTGGTGTCTAGTCTCCCTAAGAAGTGCTGAGGTAATTGTCATGAGAAAATGTCCATCTCATACCAAGCCGTTTTGTAATTATGGTAATTGAAAGCTGACAGTATGTGAGGCTTCTGTTTTAATGGAAAATGTTGTTGATACTATGAAGTTAGAAATGGTATCTACCTTCCAGTCTTTCAGAACAGTGCTTATGGAATATTTTCCCTTCTAAGGCTGGTCCTTCAGTGCAGTTGCCACCTCCTGCCCGAATGATTCTCTTTGCATAGGAGGAAGAAGAAGAAGCAGATGCCAATTTCTCTTCTGACGATTCAGTCAAGGAAGGGGAAACGTTAGACTCTAGCAATAAGACAAGGGAAGAAGTTAGCTCCTCTCAACACTTTTTGCCTTAGATGAAATGTAAGATTTGTTACAGGCCATTTACGCAACAGAAACAATTCCAGACCCCCCTTCTTAGGGGGGTTCTTTGAGGATTGCACGAACAACCGAGAAGAGTTTTTCTGTTCCCACTAATCTCTTAAAGACCTTATTTTAAAGAAATGGAAATAATCTGATAAGAAAATCCTAAACACTAGGTCCTGTAAAAAAAGATTTCCCTTTAACAAAGAAGAAAAAACATTTTGTAAGTACCCTACATTGGATGCTTCCTTGTCACAAGACTCCAAAAATGCAAACCTCTGCTTAGAAGATTCTGGAATTGCAAGGACCAAATGGACTGCAAAGTTAAAACGCTACTAAAAAGTATGTCAACACTTCATCCATAGCACAAATAACATAATGTCTGGATCAAACAATTATTTCTCAGGGAGCTCCAGTAGAGAAGATTCCTTGTTATCTGGTTGATGTTGCTGTAGAGCCCATCAAGGCCTTTGCTAGATCTGCCACAATATTCAATTCTGAAAACCAGTCTCAACTGGGATCTAAGACCCAAGAGCAAAAGAAAAAGTGTCCCTTTAATCAAGTGAAGCCTAAGGGGGCTTGAGTTTCACTCTTACAGAACCTGCCGATGAAGACAGCAAGTGATGCCAGGATTGCCATGGAAGGCTGTCCCAGTCCTACCAACATTGGGAATATCAGACAGCTCAATCATCATAAAACTAATAAAGGAAGGATATCGCCTGCAATTCATAGCTTCTCCCCCTGAAACCTAGTAAGGGCAATGGTCCTAAAGGATTGTATAGACATCTTTGTTCAACAGAAAGTGATTAGTCCATCTACCAGAACATCAGATCCTTACACTCTAAGGATTTTACACGCACATGTTTATTGTCCAGAAGCCTTTGGGAAAGTACCAGATTATTATCAATGTAAAGAAATGAAACAAGTTCCCGAAGTACAAAAGATTCAGGATGGAAAATATTTAAAACCTCCTAAAGAAAGTGTTCGTGATCACCTACTTACAGGGTGCATACTTGTCCTGATTAATCTGACAGAAATACAGCTACCAGTAAGACTAACTGGGGATTCACTGTGCGGTCCCCCCAGCAGCACATAGTGACCTTTCCTTGGCTTTCCCATCAATCAGTTCAGGCACTGGAAACAAATACAAATATCTAGTACTTCCTGGTATGCAGGAGCATGTGACTTACTTCTCCCAGGTATTGTTCTTGTCCATTGTCTGCTCAGGCACTTATGCCATCACAAGAGTAGATTGACATGGAG